GGGGGGAAAATTGCCTTTTTAAAAAACAACTCCAAAAAGCACCAACTTCTGCTGAGCCTACCAGACTTCTATATGTAGACTATTTATACAATATTCCATAGTATTCTACAGTGTACTTAGGCAAAAGAAAACAAAAAACAAAAACAACAACAACAGAAAAACCACAGCTGTACAATTTTTTGGCCACCTCTATGAAGATCCTCATAGCTTCCACATCCAGAATTTTTAGTCTGTTCATCCTATCCTAGACAAGGAAAAAGGTAGATTTGGTCATCAGAACCAGGGCCTGGGCAATAGGGCATTCACATCAACCCCTTCCCCGAAGGGTTTTATTCCTTCCATGGCTCAGCTGCTGTCTGCCCAAGCCACTCCAACTGTTAGATGTTTCTGACCAAGTGTGCAGGTACCATTGGAATGGGGCCTGCTCTGCTACAAGCAGAGAAGTAGCACCCATGCAGCAACTCGGAGCCCCTTCTTGCTCAAGAGACCTAGAAAAAAAAGTTTAGGATCCACACCCCCATCTCCCATTTGGTAGTGCACAGCACTTACCCATTGGCTGCCGGGCCAGCCAAACTATACACTTTAGTGTCTCCAATAAATAAGCCACATTGTAAAAAGCCAGGATCCTTACAACAGCCCCTTGCACTTCATCCTAAAATTATTAGTCAAGTTATGTTATCCTTCCCTCCCTGCAGCAGTCAAAAAGCTTTGGCACCTTCTATAGAATTGCACAAAACAATTCAAGGTGGAAGGCAAGAGTCTTTTTGGCAATTTTAATGCAAAAAAACCAAGGCCACCCTGAAAATTTGGCTGGACAGGATAAAAACAGTTTAAGAACTAGTATAGAAAGCATAGTAGCCCATGCCTTTTGAAGTGTCTTTGCCATAGTCCTCAGCATTAATGTCCTCACATTTCATTGTAGGAGAGTTTTCATTGCTAGAAGTGCTAGGGGAGGGTCGTCTTCTCTTACAAGCACCCGTGTAGACCCCTGAATCATTTGAATCTAGAGACTTTATGGAAGGTGGGGTCTCTATCCAGGATGAGCCAATTTCTTCTTTAACTTTCTCTTTGGAAAGCTGATCTTCAGAGAAGCCTGAAGGACTTGTTCGGGAAGTCCACGTCACTTTTCTCTGATAGGAGGCTCTGCTTCCCCACCCTGCCATAGATGAAAACGTTGGATCAGGATAGTATCCCAATGCATGGGATGTCTGAAGGGGAAGCGATTTAATGCCATACGGGAGCAAGGTGCTTGGCGAATACTCTGTTTCGTAAGAGTTCATGTCCAGTTTGTTGGCACCAGGCTGCTGCACAGGAGTAACAAACCACCTCTGGGGGGGATTGGCCACTTCTTCATTTTGCTGGGGCGAGAGCAAGCCATTTGTCTGAGGTACTGTTCTCTCACCATTGTAAAATCTGGCTGGTGGTAGGTTGTTGACAAACTGTTCCTGGAAGAATGGCTGCACACTGTACCGGGCTCCTGGGACAATCTGGTGGGATCTAGGAGAATCCGTGGGAGATGGAGTTAACCTGTCATTTTCTGAAGCTGTGTACATGCTACAATGCAAAAAAGAAACACTAAGTGCTGTTCTTTATAATTCCACGTACTGGCATTAAAGCAAGACGGACTGAACTATGGGCTATGGCTAAAATTCTGGCATTTGGACCACTTGATCTTTTCTGCTGGAGTTAGCCTCATAGAAGGCTAGCTTCTGAGTTCTGCCTCCATCCCCAACTTAAGTATTTTAGGCCTGTAAATGCCTAAGTGCCACCACTATTAGCACGCAGCATTTCAATGCTAGAAGAGCTCACTGCAGATGGAACACAAAAGTTTACTCTGACAAAAGAAAGAAAATTATATACCATCATAAGCAGCAACTTTGTATAGACAAAAATGCAACAAATTTGTGATGGATCACAGGTCTGCTACTGCCTTGTAACCAAGGGCATTGGCTTGCCTAAATTTATGTAAAATCTCACTTGAACAGTCAAGTGAGAGCATATAAAAATAAGTGCCAACATCTTTCTGTAGGGACATGGAGTAGGGGATGGAGGTCTTTTAACTTTAAAATATATACACGTCCCTCTTAATGAACACAACCTGGATAAAGAACAGCAGAATTATACTTACGAATCATAGTTGTCCCTGAAGCCTTTTGCAAAAGGGTTATGGTCAATCTTAAGCTGGGTGATCTAAGGGGGAGGGGGGGGGGGGAAAAAAATGAACAAAAGAGACGGGGATTATGCTGGGGGGGGGGGAAAGGGGGAAAAGTGTCAAGCATATTGGGCTATAGATTTATAGTCTCCCTCTGCACCCTCACTTACATCAGTATTCTGATATGCAGTAACCGCTATGAACTGTGTTTCCGGGAAAATAAATGTCTGAGTTTTTGAAGAGTCATTGAGATCTTCGACTCCATCTTCAGTCACTTCTACAATATGAAGTCTCGGCTGGTATTTGTGCAGAGACTGCAGCACTATCATCTAAAAAACAGCAATGCAAAAAGCAGATGTATTCCATCAACTACATAAACTGCAGCTAAAATCTTACATATTAGCGATAGAAGAAACTCATTTCAAGACCAATGGCTCTCAACTATGTTTGAGAGAAAGCACCCACTGGAAAATAAGAAAAGAAAACCGCTCTCTGGTTTTGCTCGAGTGCAAAAAAGCGCATTTCTCCTATTGCAAAGAACAGGTCAGGATGTTTGACACCATGGATTCCTATTTGAAAATGTCATGGGTTTATTTTGTGAATCAAGTGTGGGTGTTTGCACACCTAACAGGGCTAGTATATTATGGAACTCCATAGCACTTAAAAAGGATTTCATGCACCACAGGGTGTCTAGCACCCAAGCCGAGAAATGCTGGTTTAGCCTTTACCATAAATAAAAGCTTAACCTCTTTGCAGGGGCAAGTTGTATCTCCATCTTTAAGCTTTACAAGAGATGGTGGGGTTTTGACAGCGTATCTTCCAAGGGGAAAGAAAACCTATGAGACTAAACAGAAAGTGGAAATTTCACCTAATGTCTACTTATTAGTGCTCCAGATTGAGACTTCAATACAGCAACATAATTATTTTATACAGGGGTGAAGTCAAAGAAGAGCACATCCTGCCTAGCTACGGTTTTTACTCCTGCTGCTTAGGAAGCCCTGAGTCACTTGCCACTGCAGTTTGTCATTTATGCAGCTGATAAGCCCCTCATTTACCTGGGCATTGTTGTTGTTGGCACCTTTATTATTGGTCAGCTTCAGTTTCCCGAAGGAGATCTCCTGCCTCATCCAGTGAGCTCCAGTGTTGGGGGATTCAGGGTGAACATACACCTTGTTACCTAGTGGGGGAAGAAAGAGGGAGGGCAAAACACACACACACACACCAAATCAGAACAAGAGTGACTGGCCCCCCTCGGGGTAGGGGACAGGGCAGCCAAGCTGCTGGGCAGTGGGCAACAAGCCCCACACACCTTGCATGTTGTTGTCCGCCTTGCCGCACGTCACCCACTTGCCCCCCTGGAAGCGCCAGTGGTTGGGGTCGGCCAGCACCACCTCCACGAACACGTTGTAATGGGCAGTGGGGTTCAGGCCCGTGATGTTGAAGCTCAGGAAGGGAAACATGCGCCTGCAAGGAGGAGAGGAGAGAGATGGATTAGCGCAGATCGGGATCCCCGGAGCCCCGCTCCCAGACAGGGGTTTCGCTGGGGGCAGCCCAGGAGCCGGACGCAGGGAGCGAAAGCGGCCCCAAGCCGAGGCGGGGACACGCCGAGCAGAGAGCGATCGCGGCGGCGGCTCCGTCCTGGACGTGAGCCGCGGGGAAGTGGCTCCTACCTGCCCTGCTTGGTGATAATCATCTCGGTCTGGTGCCGGTGGAACTTGAGCCAGAGCGGCCGGTTGCAGAGGAAGACCTGGGCGCGGAGCCCCGCGGCCGCGCCG